GCTTTGCCTCTTGCTGACATCCCGTGTTTCAGCAGAGCCTGGATGGAAGAGCCAGTCAACGAGGATCAAGAATCTTATCAGCCGCCAATCAAACTGTCTTTGTAAAAAAAAAAAAAGAAAAAGTTCTGCTACGTCGCTAACGCTACACTTTGAACTCAGTCAGCCAGATAGAATTTCTCTTTGTATGTAGTAATTGCTGTTTTTAATGCATGGAAAAGCTTCAGTGAACGTATTCTTTTACTAACGTCAATGTTCCACAGTGGAAACTTGGTCTCTGACTTCATCTCCAGGCTTCATCCCCGCAGTAATCTGTAGTCGTGAACACCACAGCTCCCGTATTAGATTACACAAAGCATACCCCAAACCATTCAGCCGCACTTTGTGCTCCCAAATTACAAATGGCTGTTGCGTGCCACAGAAGTGTTGTCAAAAGTTGTAATTATAGGCTCAGCTCAAGATGTGCCACTTGAATCAAACTACCATGTTGCCACATCAGAGAGAACAAAAAGTCGGAAGTTAGGGAAGACAGACTGGGCTTATTAAGAGACAGGGAGCCGTGCGCTGGCTGTCATCATTATGTCTTCGCTGTAGACCAGAGTTGGCAAACACCACAAATTATTTTTTTTATTGTTTTTTTATTATTTATTAATGTTTATGCACCAAAACATTTAATTGTTTTTTGTTTGTTTTGATGAGGATATTCTTCACACTCTTGCTCTGAGTTTCATCTACCTTGTGTCTTGAATGGGTTCGACAGACAAGACACACCGTTATGATTGGAGGACCGCAGTTTCTGTCTGCACCAATCAAACGGAGCAGAAAAATAAAAAGAGGGAGTGCGATCCCTGCTTCATATGCTGCATTTAAATGATTTGCCGTTAAACCAGACAGCATTTCTGTAATTGCAAACATTTTCAACACCAGCTGTAATTAGTGTTCAAGGTGTGCACAACCACAAAAATCTGCCTGGCCGAGACACAACACATCAGACTGTAATTGGTTTCTCAAGATTTATCCAGGAAAAAAAGCAAGAAAGAGTAAATGAGGGAGTCGACACACAGCAGTCAGGGAAGTAGAAATGAGTGAGGGTGTCTTTGATTTCGTGTGTGTGTGTGTTTTACCTGTGGCTCTGCTGGTGGAAGCCCCCCCCTCCTCCTGGGGTTTGCACGCGAGCATCTGTCTGTGCAGATGTAGTGCCTCTGTGGAATGTACAGTATTCCCCTGACTCCCGTCTCCTAAATTGCCCCCGAGGACTTCGCCGACGGCCTCGGGTGTAACGATGCCCTCCAGGGACCTGCCTCCCTGACCCACATCGGCTCCTCTGCTGGGCCTCCTCTCAGGTTCTGTTCGCGGTGGGACCAGCAATCGATTGGAGGAACGGTGGGAAGACACTAGTTCTTCATCTTCAGGGATAGGGTTGTACCAGATCTCTCCTTCATCATCGGCGTCGTTCTCTTCAGCTGGATCCACGTTTCGAGGATATGGAGACACTTTGGTCTGGCCAACGCAGACCTACATGAAGGAAAACGTTCAGTTTAATTCTAAGGAAACCTTCACATAACAAACCAATAAACGTTAGAGCTACGTCAGACCTGGGGCAGCTGGAGGCGAACCGGCCGCATTGGCGCTCCCCCTGAGGGTTTCAGGTGGTCTGGGGAGGGGCTGGAAGGAGGAGGCAGCTGACAGAATCCATGGCTGTTCTCCTCCTCTGCTCCCAGCATGCCCTGGGGCTCATCCCTAGTGTTGTAGGACTTTCCCAGGGTGCTCTGCTGAAGCCAGTTGCGTTTCTTGGACACAGTGATGGTCGTGAGCGGCTGCCTCCACGCCGAAGGCTCGTTGGCTCTGCCAACCTCACGACCGTTAACACAGGGGGTTTGGGCATTTTCAACAAAAGCTGAGGAATGGACACAGACAGAGACAACATGTGTGTAAGACACGAAGAGAAGAATGGATGTTCCAACACCATGTCTGCATCGTCACACGCAATAAAACCTTAAAATCTGATGTTCAGACCTGTCAACAAATAAAAAAAAACATCTGTATCAAGAAACCAATGCTTTTAACTAAATACGTTAGTTACGTTCACCTTGCAACAGAGAAGGTTGGGGGTTTGAGTCCACTTACCCCCTTGCCCCAGGTTGGATAGTGTAAGGAAGGGCAGGGTTGAAAAAACAGGGGCTAATCACTACCGTATTTTCCGGACTATAAGTCGCACTTTTTTTCATCCTTTAGCTGGGTTTGTGACTTATACTCAGGTGCGACTTATATATTAAAATATATAATTTCACATGTTGGTTATTTTCACACTGACAGCCGCTAGAGGGCACTCTAGCTGGCTGGTGCGACTTATGCTCCGGAGTGATTTCTATATGTTTTTTTGTTTTGTTTTTTTCACATAAGTGACTTGCGATTAAATTTAACAATCCCTTGATTGCCAAAAATATTTTCAGCTTTTGAAATTCCTATTTTAGCACCTTTAGAGAATGTGTTTCAGTTATTAATGAGAGCCACATCATAGCTAGTGCTGTGTCACCATAAAAAGAAGAAGCAGAATGCATCGGTTGTCTATGATGATTATGGTCTGTCTCTTTCTCAGCCACATCTCGGCTAAATCACATCTGTTTGTGACATGTTTTTCAGAGGATTGAACATTTGTCAAATAGTTTTAATGGTGAGATGTTTTTTTCCTTCTAAATGAAAAGCACTTCACGTCCAAATTGTCTTCACAGACGATATACTACAATGACAGCTGCAAAAACAAACACAGAGAAGTGACAAAGTGTGTACTATGAAATGTGACAAATAATAAAAATTTTAAAGATTCCCCCGCATGAGTCGGAAAATCGTCTGCCTGTCTTCAAAGCTGCTGCTCAGATGCTAAAAAAAAAACTGTACTGCATATCATGTGTTGTTTTTCTGCAGAAATATGCTTGAAGGAAAAACAACCTCCATTCATGCCTGTGTGTGTGAGTGTGTGTGAGAGTGTGTGTGTTTCAGAGAGAGGTTCTAAGGGCAGGATCCTGCTCTGACATGTACAGCAGACTCGTGTTAAAGACTGTTTTGATCCTGCGCTGCTCCCAGACGAGCCCCTCCACATGCTTCAATGACAACTTCTTCATTTCCCTTAAGGAGATGAATTTCATGCATGTCACACTGGGACAGCAGTAAACAAATTACAGAGGGATTTATTTTTTTTGTACTTAATGGAATTATACACGATAAACAGGACACCCAGAGAGAGACGAGGTGACATGAATAATTTAGAATGGACAAAAACAACAGGAGTTTATTCTGTACATTTGAAGCAGAAAAAAAGCAAAGAAATAAACTAACGATTTTTCTATTTCCAGTTACATAACCTCAACTCTACCGATTGAGACTAATGGTCTCTTTTGCTTGGCTGCGCTTAGTGAAAACATCCTGAAAATGCCTCGCTAAGATTGATTTTCTTCTTGAGGTCCAACTGCTCGCTCTCCTCACCCACAAACACCAAATTTAAACATTCCTCTCATGTCAACAATGCAGGTCGTGATCTGACCACTGGCTGCTTGACGCCTTCCTTCCGCCGAGAATGAAAAGAGCATTGAAAATGTTGTTGTGAAATGCATTCCTTTGTTGGATTATTGGCTTTTTTGTGTGTTAAAAATAGATTCATGATAAAAGCTTCATGATTCATGATAAAAGCTTGTGCTCTAAAACTTTAAGTTTAAGTTTTTTTGTGCTCTAAAACTTTAAGTTTTAAGGGTCAGAACCCTGGTTAAGAACACCTATGAATGTCTGAAGTAATTAACACATGATACAGCAGGGGGCACTTTAAGTTGAGTTAAAGTATTTTCAGCGTACATTTTTCTAGCATTGGGTCTTATGTCACGCAAGATCTCCAAAAAACATCTCTATAATCTGAAATCTTTTTTTTGTTTGTTTTTAATATGAGAATCAATTGTGATAAAAAAAAAGTGACCAAACGTAAAATGTAATGAAAAGAAATTCACTGTTAGAGACACATTTGTTTTCTGCTCCTGCCTCCTGCTTCCATCAGCTCGGACCTGGAGCAGCTCTGACATGTGCAGACTCCTAAATGAGAGGGGGAAAAACATGTTTCTGACTCTAAACTCAGCTCCACAAGTTAATGTGTAGGCCAAGGCTGGCAGCCTATAATAACCTGTCATGGTTTGTTTTCAACTGTTCCGACCTTGTCGGTTCGTGTATCCTTCCAAACTCCCAAAACAGGAAGTGTACAACAACTACGTTCAGAGTCCAGAAGCCTTTAGGACAAAGATGGCGTCCTATTTGTGGACAGCATTAGCTTGTTCAGCTGCACATGACATGTAAAGTTAATACGAAATTCTTGGGTGAAATGATAAGAAATTTTGAGACGTGTAACAGATTAAATTTACGACTAGCTGCGGAGTGCAGTCGCCATTGCACGCTCCAGTAACACGAGATTAGCAGAGGTGAGATGGCTGTGCGTGGAGCTCTTGTCAGCATGCCATCTTTTTAAGGGGTCTTTCATAACTGGAAGAGGAAGCGTGTTCCGACATGAGCAGCATTCCAGACCACAGCTCCAGATTTACAGCCTCCTGGGTGTCACACTCCTCTACGGGAATAACACCTACCCTTCAGCAAGAAAAAACCTTAATAAGTGAGATTTTCGGGCCTTTTCAGTGCTGTCACTTATCAAAGCATCAACACCTTTCTCACTCGGCGTGTTAGTATTTCTCTCCTCAAACACTTTTGACGTGATGTGTTATTAAAAGGTAGATTTTTGTACTTCGGAACATTCCGTCTGGTGGGAAAGACAGACATTATATATATTTGATCCAAAAAATGTGTTGACGCACAAGAATGCAACAGCTTAAACGATTATGTGGGATTACAATAACACTTAAACGATTCAAACTGTCCTACTGAGGAATTAAGAAAGCCAATGAAAGCTAATGGTAAAAAGCTAATGTGTTGACATGGCTTTATAGCCAGAGGGGGAAAAACATCTCTTTTATTTGGTAGTAAGTGATTGATGGCTGTCAGAATCATTAACCTGTTCATAAACACACTGACGGATATAAAAGAAGCCTGCCCTATTGGAGCTTCATCACACAAACCCTGTGCCATCATGGTATGAAAACGATCTGTTCTGTCAGAGCAAAACTCACACCCTTGACCTGAAGGTAACAGATGGTCAGAGCTCATACCAGGGATAAATGCTAGCTGCAAAAACAAAACAACAAAAATGAAGGTGAGTTTGAGGATGTGCTGTAATAAACTTGGATGACGTCGGCCTGATAACACTTGCGTCTTGACCTTGTTTGAGAATAAAACAAGTCTAACGCCACATTCCCAAAGGCCAGGGGTGTCAAACTCATTTTCACTAGCAATACAGTTCTTCTTGAAGGGATGGAGAGTTTACCACAGGGCCTTGAGTTTGACACACATGCCGTAGGTTTTGCTTTTATTTCCGGCATCTTCCCATCTTGTACGTGCAGCACACACACGCGGGCGAGTTTTTCTTCCCAACACAGACAGCACTTGTTGTTGTGTATCCGCTGTTCCAGTGCTTCTCCTTCAGAGGGGAATCTTTTGCAGTGTGCCATACATTCCTGTTGACGCTCATTCATATGGTAATCAGGATCCTCAGTGTGGATTTTTCTTTTTACTTCAACAGAGCCGAGATTGTCTGGGGTGTCACACGTCCGCACTTGCGTCTCAGAGAAGCATCGTGACGCTAATGATATCCAACGTGCCGTGTGTTTTAAACCAGTCGGACCATTGTTGACGGGCACGGTACAGGACTTAACGCTCCGTGTTCCCTACGACTGTGTCCTGATTTGTGTCTGATCACACAAAAAAACACATTGGCCACATTCCTGAACATGCATGAACCTAATCCCTCATCACGTTGAATCCAGAACTCTTTATATAGTAACCGCAGCTGGCAGTCCTGGTTTTTATAGCACTATTCCACATCACAGCTGCGTGAGAAGTGCTAAAGTAGTTTCCACTGGTTTCCAGACACCTACACTGACACATACTGTACACACACACGCACTTAAAACATCTGTAAAGACAGACAGCATTTTATTGCACTCAGACACAATGACATGAACATTTTTTCTATTCCAGGTGGATGAAGCTAAGACTTAATCTGTTATTATCACAGGCATCTAAAATGCATGTGCACGCCAAAGGTGATAAAGAAGAACCAGATCTGTGGTGCCTTGATACGATAAAACAATAGTTAAGGGGCAGTGGTTCCCAAAGTGAGGGTTGGGCCCCACTGACGGGCATGCAGTAATCGCACCAAGTGTAAATATTTTCCTTAATTTGTGCCACCAATGGGGGGTATTGCACTGACTTGTATTTGTATCTCCTTTGTTCAATCATTAGAGCAGATGAACACACATATATATTATGTATGAGCCAAACTTCCAAGTTTTCCTTGTCTGTATTAAGAGGCAATCACCTTTAATTGCCAGCCCTCTCACTGTTGTAATGCCAATCACAGAAAAATCAAATTCTCCAGTGTTCCGGACCTTATTTTCACAACCCCACAACCTTATATTCAGGGGAAGTGACAGCCCTGCTGAGAACACAGCATCCTGTGAGTCATGTGTCTCAGAAATCACTCGACTGTGAACTCGTATGCCTCAGGTTTCTCTTCTATCACCTGATCCATCTTTAGAGCTTCCATCCTCCATAAATCTGTCCAGGTACAGGCGCAGCAAGACAAATTATTATTGTACCTCCACCATCACCTATGTGTTTACCTGAGACAAAAAAACAGCAGATCGGTGACTAAGGTTCTGGCACAGTGCAGAAACCAAACAGCTCGTCGTTCTGACATGACCTGACAGCATCGGAGGAGGAATCTATTACACCTCCACGCTGAACCCTGAGCTATTGTAAATGTAGAAAGCAAGCAGGAATTAATGTAATCATCATCATGTTGAGCAACACTCCGTAAACCTACACCAAAGCAAGTCTTGACTTTACTGGAATTGTGGGATATTTCTGCAATCACCGTTTTATTTATCTTGTTATAAAAAGAAAATATAACAATGCAGCAGTCAGCCGGTTAGCAAATGTGCATTTCCAGGACCAGGTGCCAGGCAGTAGAAATACACACACACACACACACACATGCTCCTGCCTGAAACTTCATATTAATGTGCCAAATATGAGACAGGTATCATCTCACTCTGCCAAAGAGCAAATACATGCAACGCTTATGAAATTTTATCACTTCTTAACATTGTTGACATGAAGATTCAGGAAAGACTTTGATTACTGTGTTTTTTTTTTATCATTATTTTTTTTAATCGGTTTCTCCGTCTTAGCCATGTCGACCGAGGACAGATGTTCTCCAACAGAAACAACAAAATGATGCCTTCAGGGACTGTGAAGATCTGTTTGTGGTGTTTATGGCTCATTTGCAGCTTCAACTTTGACTGACACACCACCTCCCGAGTTCAGACCGGGCCAAAACATGACTTGTATGTACTGCAGCCCGCCTGCCTGCTGCCAACACCGCTGCTCTGCCACAACACAACAAAACTATAAATCCTGCAGATGAAACTACGAACGTGCACGTGCAGTGAGAAGGCGTCACTCACCCACTGCTAACTCAAGCATAAAAGTGACCAAATTTGTTAGATTTTTCACACTGATGAAAAGACAAGTCGGGACAAATTAAACAAGCTTCTGTCTGATTATTGTCTTATGACTTATTACTGAGGTTTCACTTCCAACAAACAGCCCCGGGAAGGAACATGTGTATTTTTAGAAAACATCATATATTCCCCAATTTATGCAGTAATTACAATTTTTTTTCAAACCAACTCTGCAATTAAATCAAATTACTCAATACTTCAACTGTGTGGTTTTTTTTTCCAACAGCTCTCTTTTAAGCACAGGACGGTCCAAGGTTGACCTTAATAAATACTTAATCAGTCTTCGTATTGTTCATTTGTGGTGAGGAGTTAAGTGACACAACGCAAACTTGTCCAACAACAGGAATGGCATTCTAAATATTCAATCCACAGTCTCTTTAAAATGCAAGTTACCATGGAGCTGTCCAGAGCAAACGAGTGGGGAGGAAGGTGACATGACTGTGTGTACCACCCCCCAAACCCCCCCCACACACACACACACCCTCTCCTTTAGTCCATACACACACACACACACATGCTCCCCTACCACAAAGAATAACAGCAGTGGCTTCGCTCCTGCTTCAGATTCCTCTGGCCACAGCTGTGGAAAAGTTCAGCGAGGGACAAGAAGACAAGAGGGGAAAGCTGAGCGAAACGAGGAAAATATGCGAATCAAGTGTGGAAGAAACCTCGGAAAGAAATATTAAGGGACGCTGTGTCTTTATACAGAAGGGGGGAAAGAGCTGAAGGGGAAACGTGGAGGTATGCTGAGGCAGCAGTGACTGGAAGTCAGTCGCTCCACAGATCACACTCTACTGTGTTTCTAACAACCTGGCAACCCCACAGTTTACTACAACATACACAGGCAGATGTACCCACGCTGCCTCTCATGAATATTCAAACCCGACCAGAACTGTAGAAAATGACCGGTAGAATGAAACTGGAGCGCTGCTCTTTCAGATCTGTCAGGCAGCCCGTTTCCACATCCTCTAAAACAAAAACGTCAATACAGAAATTTCCACACAGGCAGTTTCCGAATCCTATGATTAAACTGGCGGAGAGCCGTTGTTTGCAGTCATTTGAGGTCAACCTGGACGAAAAGTAAAGTCGCATTCTGACTAAAAACATGCAAAGTGTATTTCACGACTGCGTGGATGGAGCAGAGTCGGTGGCTGTGCTTGTTCAGCATCCAGTTAGTTGTGATGGACGGGAGCCAGGAACTGACAGCACAGGCTTTTTATTAGAATTATCAGGAAGTGTCTACTGCCAATGTTTTACAGCACGTTTATATTGGACTGTAAATGAAAGAGCTGGATGTGTGAGGATCCCAGTGAAGGAACATCCACCAGTAGTAACATGAAGGAGAGGCATCCTGGACAGAACATTGATCAGGAAGATCATCTGCCAACGGTCCTTTATATTAACATTTAGCACAACACAGTCGGGATGATCAAACCTGACCTGTATAGATGTAACTACTCCATAACATATTAATTAATGTTTCTGCAATTGATTATTAGTTATTTAAGTTAAAAAATGTTTGCTGCTGTGAAATAGAATTTTTTTTTATATTAGTTATTTAAGTTAAAAAATGTTTATTGCTGTGGAATAGAAACATTTTTTTAATTTATATTTAATTTATCAGGTTAAGAGACTCTGCTGTATTGAGAGTTTTTTAAGCTCCTGCGGGCCATACAAGATGACTTAGTGGGCTGCATTTGGCCCCTGGACGTTAGGTTGGACACGTGTTCTAGACATAGAAGGTCAGACTATGGTGATTAATTTAAAAAGAGAATTATAAAGACAAAAAGCTGAATAAGTGACACTTGGTTTCATGACACAGATGTTTTCAACCGTCTTTAAAAAAACAGGATAATAAATGTGTAATTCCATCAACTGAACACATCGCTCACCCATGCAAACACCGAAACATTTCACACAAAGACAGGAAGTCAAAAACCCACCACCAACACAGAGCACCACCGCAACTATAACAGAGAGTGAGTTAGTTGTTACTGAGCTACACTGTGAGTCATCTGACCTACGACCTGATGTGGTGCTATATTAATGCAGTGTGGTTAAAATGCACTTAAATTAGTGTGAAGGACAGAACCCGCCACCAGTTAGAGACTCTGTAAAAAGGAAAGCAAAGAGATTTGAGGTTCCCCCGTCCCTTTGCTTTGCATCCACCACCAGATGTGGTTGACTATGAGGGGAGGAGGAGGAGGAGGAGGAGGATGACAGTAATCAGACGTGAAAAAAGGGATGATGAGAGCCCTCTGATGTGACAGGATCCACAGGAGTTGAGGCCACTCCGTGTAGCCCTCCTACCTGGCTGCTGCAGTTGTGGTGACTTGTGTGTAGGAGATTTTGTCTTGCCAGACTTAAGCCCACGGTTAGACGTCTGGACCACAGGTTTCGACCCACTGTGGCTAGCCTGGGGACTGGACTGGTCCTGGTGTGGACCTCCAGCGCGGGGTAAAGATGAGCCCTCTATTCGCTGCTTCATCTCTGAAGACAGCAGGCGGCCCTTGTGCATCCACTCTTGCATCTTGTTGACGGTGACGCCGTGGCCCTTGTGGAGCACCTGTGCTCGGGCCCCCGTCATCAGCTCCCCGTTGTTGTGGTGACCCTGATGAGCTGATGCCTCTGTGTTGCTGTCAGAAGACCCTGTGAGGCTGTTGACGGAGCCGCTGCTCTCGTTGAGCTCCCTGCCGGTCTCCTCCTCAGCACCAGCGTCCTGCAGCAGCTCATCACTGCTGATGGCGTTGTGGTCAGAGAGCTCGCCCTCTCCTCTCATGATACCCTCCTCGACTTCTTTGGACTGTGTATCATCGCAGCTTTCAGATCGCTGTCTCCCAGTGACCTTAGCAGAGGTGATGAGACCCTCTGGGTACCTGATGGCTCCGTCACTAGCGGAGCGCTGTATTGATGGTCTTGACTCGGTCACGGGAAGGTCGGCCATACTTTTACTGTTTAACCTGCCTTTGAGTTCTGTCTCGGTGTTTCCACTAAGACACAGCAGAAGGGAGTCGGTGTCTGACACCTGCTGTGGGCTGGGCTCTCCTCCTGAGGACCAGGAGTCGCTGTCCATGTTTTTGGCAGACGACCTGGAGCACAGACTGTCTCTGGAGTGGCTGCTGCAGGACGAAGCGGACAGAACAGCACTAACCTGCTGCACGTCCATGTTAATATCATTCATAGCATTGATGAGGAGATAATAGGCCTCTTTGAGCTGGTTTCTGAGTCTGTCTGTTTCCTGAGCACTGTTGCTGTCATGGAGCTGGCCTTTCTCCTGACCTGACGCTGGCAGCTCTGCAGCCTCGTCACTTTTAACTCTAATGGTTTCATAAAAGGGCAGGATTTCATTGTCATAATAATCATCCTCGCTGTCTAACGAGTATCTGATGGAGCTCTGTGTGGCGCACAGGGATGCCATGTTTATGTCGCATATTTCTAACTCTGTAGGGGAAAACGTCGGGCTCTGCAGACTCCCTACCGTCCCTTTAATCTCCCCTGCATACTCTGGCCCGTAGCTCTCAATAGTTTGGAATAAAATGCTCTCGTCTATGTTTGTGGGAATGGCATTTGGATGCAGAAGTGCCGCGCATTGGTGTGAGTCCGTCTCGAAACTTGGATCGCTGTCAAAGCCCCGGTTGTCATTGTTTTCCTGCAGGGACACAGCGGCTCCTACCATGTGCTGGGACTCTGCCCTGTCTCTGGGCTCTGGCCCCTCACTATCAGTAATAGCTGCTGTTCCCTCTGGATGTTTACCTCCCCCCGTGTGAGTCTGGGCTGGTATTCGGCACAAAACGTGCTTAGAATTGTCCCCAAACCCAATGGAATCCCCGACGCTGCACTGACGCGGCACCGAGACGAAGTGTTTTCTCTGGACATGCGGTGCTTTCAGTGTGATCTTATCTGCGGGTCCCTGGTGGCTCCTCTCTCCCAGACTGCACATAAGTTCCCCAAACATCTCCTCTCTTTGAAGTGCGACCCCCAGTAGCTGCTCATTAACCCGAACCCTACCCCCTGCCCCTGCCCCGTCGCAGCCCTCTGGAGGACGCGCGGCGGCGGACTCCGCTGCGCGTCTCCCCCGGACGCCTCCAACCACTGCCGCCCCGTCAACGCAGTTCTCGTACGTGCTCATTCGCACCGTGAGCAACACACCCGGCAGCTCGGAGTTTGTCTGCGTCTGTAAAACTTTTTCTTTACCTTCTCGGCCCCCGCCGTTCGCCGCTGCAGCAGCAGCAGCAGCAGCCGTAGCAGAAGAACCGTATCCACCACCAGCGCCGACCGTCGCTACTTTCTTGGCTTTCTTCCCCCGGAGTTTGGCTAGTAAAGTCCTCCGCAGAGGATCAGCCATTCCTTTCTTTTGCCTCCAAGTTAATTCCTCCCGGTTCCTTTCAGCGCGACGCCTCCAGAAGGAAAAGACCGAGTAGCTTCTCCGCGCTCGCCGCCGTCAAAGCTCGCCGGGCGGACAGGGCTCCTCTCCATTCTCCGCTGTCACCTCCGCTCTGTCGCCTCATTCGCTCGTACACTCACTCACTCCCTCAGTCCGGATCACTGAGCTCGACTCGACTGCACCTCCTCTCCCTGTTTTCCCTCCCTCCCTCTGTTTCCTCCCCTCTCTCTCTTTTTGCTGTCTCCCTCTCTAGCGCCTCACCTCCACCTCATGTTTGCAGCTCAGATGTTTGGCATATTTTCTTGGCTCAAAGTTCAGGGACCTCGCACTGAAGGTTTATGGCGAGAAAGATTTCAGCAGCATGGCTGCTTCAGGGAAATGAACTGCATAATGTATTTCCTCACTTCTGTGAAAGTGAAGTACAGACGTAACTGCAGTACACGCACCTGTTGTTTATACTGTTTGCAGTATTTTTTACAACAGTATTGCACTTTTTAAAACCGGAAAAACTTCGACATTTACACCTTGAGCAACAGTATTGCACTTTTTAAAACCGGATAAACTTCAACATTTGCACCTTGAGATATTTATATTTATATAATTATAAATATTTTTGATAGTTGTCTACCTTTACAATTTTAATAAGTTTTGCTTTTCGTAAAACCATCTTACACCAACAACGTCCCTACGGGATTTATAAAATATTTTTCCGATTTTTCTTGATCATCCTTACCTAATTACATGATACTAAGCCCCCTTTTCTCAGTGTGGCATCAATACGCTTCCGTAGAAAACCATGACCAATATTGCGTAAGTAAAATCTCATTTTGAGACTGCATGGACTCCTCTGCTTATTCCTCTTACCCTGGGTTGTCAAAGCTGTGTGGTATTAGCTGAAACGCCGAGAGGATTAAGTCGTCTGAGCTGACAGCAACTTACCTACACAAAACCAAATTAAAGTAAAATACTACCGATATAGTACCGATACCGATATATTCAGCCGTTTTTCCCCAAAACTGCGGTAAACATATCTGATCCCACAAGCAATTCCAGCATATTTGGCAAAACCCAAGCACTGCGATATCGGATTTCCATTATCAAAGGAAAAACCGATAACGATTCTTACAGATAATACATGATTATGCAAATATCGGTTGGCCGATATTATTGGACATCAGTATCAGTGATTCCCACTGTGTGGTGTGCCGTCGAAAATTATCCAATGTTACTTCTTTGGTCCCAAAACTATTATTTGTTTATTGCAGTATTTTTTCTTCGTTGGTCAATGCGTGACAGGCAGAGTAATTAAATCATTTTCTGCTAGGTGGCAGCAGATGGCTATGAAAACTAAAAAAGAATAATCAGCTGTTGAAGAAGATCTGTTGAAGAAGATCTCTTTCTTCAATTCCTTCCAGTATATCAGCGTGGTTTTTATCTAAACAAAAGATTTCAAGATATCAAGACCAAGATTAGTCAATTATGGGGTCATTTAAAGATTATTATATTTCATTACATTAACTTTTTGTAAGATTTTTGTCACAAAACATGCAAATTAGCACTGGTAAATTATATTCAAAGCAATGTTGTATGCTAAAAACATGGTTTCTTGAAGGCCTATTTATAATTTCCACCTGTGACCATTTCATTTTAGAAGCTCTTCACATACAAGGTCTTTTTATGACTTTATTACTTTAAAGTTGATGTTTTTTTATTACTATAAAAAAAACAAAAACTATAAACTGCCATGATACACTGAGCAGTCATTTCATTAGCTCTGTATAAAAGGTGTTGACAAAGTCATAATGAATACAAACATTATACTTTTGTGTTTATTTATGTCAAGTGTGTTTACTTTTTCTTCAGGTTGATGAAATACAGATAGAAAGAGCAGTAGGAACTCTTTGAATGTGTTTTATTATTATTATTGTTGTGATTATTATTATAATAATTATTATTATAGATTATAAAAAGCATGGTTCAAAACATTGCCCTGTGTTATTACCATCTCTTTCCACCTATGTTGATAATGTGAGTTAATCTTCTCTTCTGGAATGCGAGAGCTCCGACCGCTCCCATTGAAATTCAACACATATTTGTCCCTGAAGTGTGAATTAAATGTTCTTGGAGAGCAGCGAGAGCCAGGACTTTAAATTACCACCTTCACTGGTAGCTGTGAAAGCATTTCAGCAAACAGCAGGGAAAACAATCCCCATCTCAGGGGGAGAAAAATGCTTTAACCTCTGCAGGAAATTGAGAAATGTGGTCCTCAGCAAAAAAAAAAAAAAATGAGGACAGCGATAACTTTAGCAGCAGCAGTCCACTGCCTCTCCTCTATTCCCGACCGTACGATGGTTATTTGTAATCCCAGAAAGTGCGGCCTCTTACATGATGGATCACTGTCAATTACGGCACTGACACTTTTATCTGAAGTGTATCTTGAGTAATCCTCTCCTCTTTAACCTTGCATCTAACCCTTGTCCTCGGTGGCAGCTCAGGCCGTGGCTTTGAGAGCAGGCGAGACAGCAGAGAAAGGAATGAAACAGACTTCACTTGAACCTTAAGCCATTTGTTTGCTGTTGCCTCTGCAAGGAATGCACAGAGGGATGAGCTGCTGAAAAGCCACAGTGGGTGTATGAGTGCACATGCACTCTTTGTACCTGCCTAACTCCACACACACACATTTTGGTTCATTATAACATTGGTAGCATAGCTGTGGCTATGTTTTCCAAAGTACTACTTTCTTTTGACATACTCTTGAAAAGGGCCCCAACATGTCACTACCTCCTTCCTCCACCTCCTCCTCCTCCTCCTCCACTCAGTAAAACATGATAAGCATCTGTTATTTCTCTGCAGGAGCCATGTAGGCACTGACGCCCCAGCCTGCCTGTGAGACTGACTGACTGACTAGTCTCTGTCTGGGCAGTTATTCACAGGTCAAATCCTGCAGGCTGAATGATGTGTGTTTGTGTGTGAAAAAGAAAAAAAAATGACCGTGATAGTTTCACATAAGGGATAAAATGCTGACTAAATCAGGACGGACAATAACCATTTTTCAGAGTTGTCACTGCAGGGTATGAGCAATAACCTCATGGGTAGTGGTGGTGGTGGTGGTGGGAGGGGGAGGAAGGGGGAGGAAGGGGCAGGGAGGGCAATATATCAGCACAGCATCCATGGTGGAAATGTTTTGCATACTTGACAATGAGATCCTGACTGGAGATCCTGACCCTGTAGAACCCACGGAGCTGAGGAGGATGGATGGTCGTATGGAATGTTAGACTTTGGAAAATGTTGTTTTTGGCAGCTGTGGGTTGTTGTCACTGTGATAATGGTATTTTTTTTAATATATAGTTCGTTAAAATGGTTTCCTGCTGCTGCTGGAAATAGTGGAATCTTCCAGTGAGGACAAGGAGGCAGAGAAAGCTTTCCAACAGACAGTTCAGAACTGGAACTGCCCTGCAGTGTTCTTAAACAAAAACGTTCTGCTTAAGACGACGTCCAGGGCCGGCCCCTAGAGGCTCCAGGCAGTACTGCATGGGATTTCATGTTTGTTTAGAAATATCTTTTGAATGAACCTTTAAATGTTTTAGCTTTTTTTCCCTGTTAAGGTGCAGTTTAGTACATAAGTAGTACATAACTGTAGGTAAAGTATTGTACCATGAATATTTGAACATACTGTTGTGTTGTATAGTCTTTCAGGCATTTCCATCATCTTTGACAGATCTGAGCGTTATGTCCTTGTAACAGGTTTTTATCTACTAAAGTTCCACGTGTAATAATCCTACAGTTAAAGAACATCTGAAAAGAATAAAGTTTTAGACTTAAGCTGAGGAAAGGACTTAAAAAACGTCCTTCAAAATTTTATTACGCCTGCAGAAGTGCATTGACATAAATGCAGGGAATTGGAAGCATAAAATACATTTTTTCATTTCTTTTTCTTTCCAATTTTTCTCACTTGCCTAAGGACTTTTGGTGTCGGACAGACTCTGTTGTCGCCCGCCATCCGTGTAAGCAACCCTAATTAGTTGGCAGAGATTAGAATGACACAGATTGGGCAGGAAAGTGGAAGAAAATGAGGAAGTTTGGTTCTCTTCCTTTTCCTTATTCTCCACCAGTCACTCACACCCTTTGTTAAAGGCAGTGGCAGAACATCTGCTTAGCTGGCCTCCATTCAGATGGCCAGGCCACAGAGTGTGTGTGAAAAGAAAACTGTGTGTGTGTGAGAGAGAGAGAGACTGAGAGAGAAAGTGAAGCAGTGGGTGGATTTTATGTGTGTTTATGCGTATGTGTGTGCACGTGAGTGTGTGCACATGAGTGTGTGTGTTGTGATATGGGGCTTTGCAGCTGTTGGGGCTCTCCTCCTGATGGCCGCCCATTGTTCCCCCTCTCTCTGTGTCTCTGCCTCTCTCTCTCGGTCACAGCCGGTTTATGGGCCTTCCCTTTTTCTCGGTGCACACCGCAACTAAATTTATGTCTTTGGACACAAGCCTTTCTCAGGGTATAAATTAGGCCGAATGATTTCTGTCAGCGTAGCGTTGCCAGGAGCCTGCTGCTTTACGTTCCTCTCACATTATTGTCCTTGCCATTCACTCATATTTTACCATCAAAGGAAAAGAAAACCTACGTAAATTAAACTTCTGTTATATGTCCCATTGCATTGACATCCATCTGAGTGGTTGGGATGTGGAACTGTTTCAAGGCTGTTACAGATTTCATTATTGTGATTTTAACACCAATATTTTCTCAGATGTTTTTGTTTTTGTTTTGGACAATTAAATCTTAGTAATTGATGAATAACACGGCAGCGGTGATCAATAATCGTGATTAACTCTCACTCTGAAGGGACTTTTGAGCCAAGCTAAAACTATTTAAATCCAATGCTTGGGAAAAAACATTGCAAAGAACTTGTAACGTAACAGGACATCAAGGTTTAATCTATGAATTTACCCCAGAACATGATAAGTGTCACAAAGGACAATGTTGTATTTCAGAGATCAAACCTTCACTGAGAAGTATCTGTGTGTACATGTAGATTTATATAAATTAGACTTTGCAGTCTGACCATGTCCAGGACATGGAACAAGATAACAGGATTCACACAGATAGCATCTCCTTGGTTATTTGAGTTGGCGTGCTTCCTCTCTCTCTCTCTCTGACGTTCAGAATGCATGTTTGATGCTACTATTCTATTACACTGGAGAAATGCGACACATGACATGACGCTTCTGTCTGGACAGACTTTTTCCTCCTCTTTTCTGAAGAGGTGATGTAACTTCTAAGAAGTTCTTAGGTGGTACAGAGGATTGGAAAACTCATGTCAGCCTCAAACGGGGGAACTTTTGGAAATATGCTGCTGTAATCAGTGGCCACAACCACAATGTTACCGAAAATTGCAATATTAAATTTCTGTTTGACCACGATTGGAAGATTCCTCTTCAAGCTCCATGAGAGACCAGGAGACAAGAACCAGTGGTTCATGGAAGGTAGCCCGCATGATATTGCACCACATGCTGTTCACGCTCACTGGCGTGGAGACTTGTGTCACCATAACACAATATCAGTAAACAGTTGGAGTGACCAATGGGAACTTGAGGTGTGATCCTGTCAGTCATGTGATGGAATTCATGAAATAGACCTATATATGTTCTTTAGACCAGTGGTTCTCAAACTGCAGCTCGTGTAACTCTGGTGGTACTTGACTCCCTCCAGTGGTACGCAGAGAAAACTGCTTGTTTTTAACTATTGGTTAGGTCATGTAAAAATTTTGTGTAAATAGCAGCTACTGCGGAAATAGGAACCAGATGAATCAAGAGAGAACTTATACTCTATGGTCCTATATATGTGCAACTAAATACATTCTGCTAACAGCGAGCTCACAATGCAGCAAATATCTGCCCTATAGGCAGAAATGTTTATTTTTCTTCTGAGCTCTATGCTAATAATTTGTACATTTTATAGCCTTCTGTGACTGTGACTGTGTTAGCATTTAGCTTAAATCACTGCTCTCTTGTAAAACAGACGGTGACAGGTCAGCTCGTCGTGCTGGTGTCGCCCCCTGCTGCAGCAGAAACAGACAACCGGGAAGCATTTCCATAAAAGCTGTGACATTTGGCTCTCGCTGCGTGAAAATGTCTGAAGTCAGATTGAACTCAGAGTGAAGCAGGTGTTAGCAGACGCATCAGTAACAGCTCCTCTGAATAGCTAACAACCATGCTTAAGGAAAGCCTTAACTTTCTACAAACGTGTCGGCAACAACCGCTGACACTTGTCCAGTGTTAATGGTAAAAAAATGTTGTTCATATGTCATGATTGTCAGTTATTTACTGTTGTTCAGATGCCATAATAGAGTCCAGATATGACAGAACCTCAGTGCATTGACATATCAGAGACTTTTTGTTCAATCAGAGCTGATTGTTCTGCTGATTATAGTGTAACACAAGACCAAGATGTTCTTTTCATGAAACCAAGATAAGGTCAGCCATGTGTGACGTCCAGTGGGACGGCAAAAATGCTTTTTTCCCCGTAACATGATCTCAATAACACAAAGAGGCTTCAGTCCAGAAAAAATGGTTGCCATTCAACAGCAAATAGCAGGCAGGAATTTAAGTTTTTACACACAAAGAGCACTTTACTAAACCCTATTTTTCTAGGAAATGTGCAGAGGGAGTTTTTCTTAACATTGATGAAAGTGACCACTGCTGGCCACTGCTCAGACTAGTAGTCAAAAAAGGGTAGTCATGTGTTCATAAATATAGCTGATAAAAATCTGTGCTGCGGCTGTGTAGCACCAGAGACACATTTCAGACAAGGCCAGGCACATACCTGCAGGCTGGAATTTTATCAGAAGCATTTTTACCACTATTTCATGTCAACCTGTGATGACAGATAGTCCAGGAGTTCCTCTGATCAGTTAATGCCTCCATGGTGCATTTTTTAATCTCCTAAAAGAACACTGTATCTGCACCCACTTTGTAATCTGTCTCTTAATTGTAATACTACAAGGACAACCGTTCCAGTAAATTATATTTTATTGTCATTGTGTTTTAGGATGAGCAAACAAAGATTTATCATCATTAAGAAAGATATCAACAAAGCAATAATACAGAACAATGTTCCAACTCGGTATTGATGGTGAATATACAGAAATATGACTTCACAAATATAGATATGTGGAAAGTAATAGACATTATACACAAAGCTCAACAAATAGTATTTGTGTTTACTTTAAAAAAATCAGTTATTGATCACCATTATAATCTCTACAACGTGATGTGGGTTTTAGAGAATGTGCAATAAAATAAGCCAATGCCCAAAAGAGTCACTTTTAGAAAAGTTACATGGCGCCCTCTTGTGTTTACAAGTTGAAAAAACACGCAGTTATTTAAAACTCATTGTCCTCTGACGCATTTATTACCGGAAAAACAAAAATAGAGATGCTATTTACAGTCTCCGGTCTGAACAAATATTAGTGAATCGAACTGTTCTTTCTTTAAAGAACTTTTTTTAAAAATACTCACAAATTTTCCAAGTCACTGAATTCACCGTATTTGTTAATAAATCAAATAAGTGTTACGCAAAATACAAAGGAATAAAGAAGAAACACATTTCACACTAAGATTTTTCATTTTTTGGAAAAATAAAAGCAACAAAGACAACAGATCACAACTAATTTGGACTTTAACAACTTCACCATCCATGTTTATGTGGCACCTCTTTCATATCAGGCCAGTAAAAATAACAAACAAACAAAATACAGTGTACACACTGTAAATCTCACCCCAACACATCAGTCCTACACTGTTGGCTAAAAACAAATAGCTCCTTTCAGAAATGCTGATAAACTTTGAGAAAGCAGCTTATTATTTGTCAACACAGGCAGGGTTCCTTATAATTTGGAGTTCTTAGTACTCCAGTACAGTACTGTACCATACTGCAATGGAGTACTTTGCTTTGTATTATGGACAAATTAGTTAATACACAGTAAACCACTTTTCAGATGTGGGTGGATGTTGCTGTAGAAGAAAATACATCAAACAAAATCCAAGGTCAGTCCGCTTTTTGCCTGAGGATTCTCTTCTCTTCTTCCACAAAATTCTTGTCAGACGTGGCTTGACCCAAATCTCTTTTCCTCTTCTCCTTCTGTCGGAAAGTCTCCACTCGACGTTTCTTGGCAGAGAGGCCGGATAGATCTGTTTCTCCATCTGATCAACAGAGAGGTGAATATCACAAACAATAGAAAATGAACATAAAAAGCATCAATCATGTTCAGGAGGTGGCACTGCATTTGTCTTCCATGGTTTAAACTCTCTGATAGGCTTCAGGAAGAAAAAAACAGTGATTAAATAAACATTTCTTTTACAAATTCTGTGACAATAATTTTTCGCACTTGTGATCAGTGCTGCAGGAAAGAATTATTTAATATACAGTATTCTGTGTTATTACTAATTAAATCTGATCAACAGGATATTCACTAAGTCCATCTCAACAGTCCCGTCCTTACCTCTTCAGGGGCTTTGACAGCC